AAAAATCTTCTCGACTTTATTTTGTAAGAAGAAACCGGCTGTTACAATGTACAGATATTAGATTATGGTATATTGGTTCATATACCATAATAGCTAAGCCAATAAAAAGTCTTGAATTGCATTATCCAATGATCCTGCTTTTGCTTCTCAAACGGCTGTTTGCCTTTAGCCTTGACCAACTGTTGTCTTGTAGTGTTCTGGGGTTTGTAAAACACCGTTACACCGTGCTCTTTGAGAATGCATGTTCTTAATATTCTCAGATAGGCCTCGTATGTAAGGGATGGTTACCCGGGCCTTGTGTCCGGTTCTCTCTGTCTCACATTCGGGACCGGGCCTTCTTCTCCGTTCCCCGACGTTTGTTACGTGATAATGATCTACCACGTGACAAACTACACTGATGAAGACTGATGGTTTCAGTCGAAACGTCGGTTAATATTTAAGACCAAAATTCCAGAAAAAGATTTTAAAATTCCTCATTTGAATTGAACCTGGATAGATGTCACTTTCAAGATCAACGGAAATCATATTAAACGTACAGTTTCCTTTCAGTCCGGGTTATAGACAGTTTCGCCTAAAGCATGACGTCATGAAATATGGCGTCACGGTCCCTTTCTTAAAAACTTTGGCTAGCGCCACATTTTAGTCCCACATTTTTTCTCTGATATTTATGGCCCTTGAGATTCAGTTCAATTGATATAGCACAGGAAGAGCTTCGCGCCAATAGCAGTTTGAATGGTGTTGGTTGAAATGCGTGGGAGCAATCACGATTTAAGTCGAGCAATGGGATTTGTTTTTTCAAATTAATCCTTAGTTTCAGAGGGTGTAATGGTAAAGAACTCGAACTCGTCAAGCAAGCTAAAGTACTTGGCATAATCATCAATAATGACCTTAAGTGGAACTGCCACGAGAATTATATCCATCAAAAAAGCATCAAAATGTATGTATTTTCTGAGACAACTCAAACGCGCGAAAATGCCTGATGCATGATGCGGACATGATGAGGTTCTACTCTTCATGTGTACGTAGTGTGGTCGAATACGGTTCACCCGTATTTCACTGCCCTTTACCATGATAACTTAGCGACAAAATCGAAACAATTCAGAAGTGGGCCCTGTCTATCATTTATGGTCCTTGTCTATCATACACCAGAAGATTGAAAGTTTCTAACTTAACATATATTCATTGTACCTTAACATCTCTTGCTAGCCGTCATCAACTTTTATGTGAGTAACTGTTTGTAAACATAATAAACAACTTACTTCCAGCTTTCAACATTGACACAAGATACCTGTTAAGAAATACCAGACTCTTTATTGAACCCCACTATCATACCGTCCGTTTTAAAAAAAGCCTTCATTTTGGCTTCAATCAGAAATTTGTAATTTTCATTTGATATTTCAGAGCATTACCAGTCTAATTCAGTCTAACGACTGCGATACTGGTTTTTCAATAAACTACTAGCCGCGATGACTTATTTGGAACGGTCGAGGTTACACATGCTTTCACTGTCATGTAAAATTTGAGGTAGTACGATCTTCTGTTGGAAAAAAGAAAAAAAATTCATAGTAAATCTCGGCATATGTCAAGTGCACGTTGGTTTAGTTCGAGTGCACGACCGTTGTTAATGTTGTTGTTGTGACCTTTCGTCCAAGGCCGTCATGGCGTCATTGCCTCTGCCAGCCATCGATTTTCTCAGTATACCTAGAGGTCCTTTTTCTTTTCGTTTCAGTACATGGATAATCATATCTCCTTCTTGAGAACAGTCGGTCAACTTTATGCGATAGGACTACCAAGTAAGACAGTCCAACAAAAGCTCTCTCACAAATGAGGTTTCGGTTCAATTTAAAATAATATCGATCAGGACTCTGAAATTCATCCTAAACGGGGTCTGCTCTGCATGCAAACGAATACTTTATCGAGTCCAGAAAAACCTTGATCAACAATAAATTGTTTCGACTTCAAACACCTCAAACGACCTTTTTTTTGTACTAGACATCTCATCGCGAACAAGACTGCCTTTGTGTGAGTGCTAGATGGCTCCCATTCCAATAAAAGAAACAAATAACCGCCAGCGGAAGCTGGTCGAAGTGTGTTCCCTGAAATTCTTGCTGAACTACTTCTAATAGGAGACATTTTCTTTAGCATTCATGTGGAAATTGCGGACGTGATTGAAGTATATATGTTATATTATCGATCACTACCTTCCACTGGGTGTCTTTAGAATAGACAGATTTTATAAAAAAAATCATGTGAGCAAAATGCGTGTACGTGCGATACATAGCAGGGTACAAGAGTAGACATGTTTGTCGAAAATTAGATTTGCATCACAGTAATACAGAGATAAATAATTCAAAGATCATCTCTTTTGAAAATTTGAATTTGTCCTGCCGTCCAAATCGCATTACAACGTGGCCGCCACGAAAAAGCTAGCAAGAAAAAAATATCGTCCCAATCCTCTCTTTGCCACATCAGTTTCTTTTTGTTTTGTCTTGACCAATTCTATCACAGGATATGGCATAGATTCTATAAACAAAACTGTCTATGGTCCAGACTGCCTTTCACTTTCTTAAAATGTTTGCGAAAGTTTGAGAGTTGCCAATGCAGCTTACCGAACAAAAACAAACGACGAAACGAAAAAAATGCTGTCTGAACTTGATCCTTATGCACTTTGTCAGGCATCTCTAAAGTCTATTGTAGACTTAGTTCTACTAACTATTTTTCTTTTTCAACAACTTCGGTGGTACCATTGTGTGGCCTTAAGAAATCAAGAGAACATTACACATTACACATTACAATCACCTACACGATATCCCTGGTAGGGCGTAAAAACTGCCCCGCTGGGAAAATTTACAGCTTATCGCCTGAAACTTTGACAGGCGCGATGAATACGCATTGTTCTTGCTGACAGAGAAAGGGTCATCATTCAAGGAATCTCCCCTTACACCTTAAAAGAAAGACTTACTCCCTACCATTCTCTGGAACCGTCCCCTTGTAATGCGTCTCGTCAATTCGTTGGACGTTGATCGGATGGTTCTGGCCAAACTGAACTTCAAAATCGTCTTTACAACGAGTCGTTAGCTCCAAATAAAACGTAAACCCTCCCTAATGTTAGCAAAAATGATAGAGTAATGAATCACAGTACAACATCAACCTCGTTCCTAGGGTCTCTTATCTTTCCACCCCCCGGAGCGAGTGACGGAGAGACCCTGGTTTAGGCTGGTCACGTGTCTTCCAGATTTCAGCAGATTTCAAATAAGGGGTTTGAGGGAGGGACAGGTAAGTGGGAATTTCTCTCCACCCAGTCCACTGGCGAGCGTAGCTTGTCTGCAATCTAAACAAACTATACGTGAAGCGCTTCGAACCGAATGTCAACTGAGAATATTCAGCATAAGCGCAAAAAGATCAGTAAATCTTCCACTACGGTAAATATCAATTGTTGCAAGCTTTGTAAATCAGTTGGAGACGAATCTTGCTCGAAGGACACCTATGGAAAAGGAAATCGCGCATCGCTGCTGCTGAGGACATTTATGGCCTGCCGTTGAGAAAAGAAAAATTTTTCCACATCTATTATGTAGGCCTTAGGAAAGACGCTTGATATATTTTATTTCTTTCAAAACGGTGTGCAGTGAAAGTCAAAGTTTTATCGAAACGGCGAAGCAGTGAACAGAAATATCACAATCTGTGCCACGCACCTTTGGCCACGATGCAAGGGAATCTGAGAGAAGCCGTCGCGGTCTAAATTTCGCAACAGTACCAACACAATTGCAGTCTTTTCCTGGAAAAGAGGTAAACAACTGTATCTTCGATAGTGTTCTGCCAGATTTTTTGGGTTTTTTTTGTTACGTCTCGACAGTCCCAAATACTTGTTTACCACTTCTGAGTTGCGAATATTTTTTATGAAAGGTGACAAATTTCTTTCAGAATGAGCTACCTTCGATTGACCCAGCCGCTGTTGGATATGTTTGCGAACAATTTGTCCATGACCATGAAAATTCGTTTTTTTCGGTTTTTGCTCATCTAACCGATCTCTCTTTTTCTAGTACCTATTACCTTCAGAAAAGGAAAAGTATGCGTATGCGATTGAGCGTACTTGTTCGCTTTCCTTTGTTTACATAATTTGACGTGCCAGTGTTCAATTTAGTCACAAATAAACCTTTAAACCTACGGCTGCCGGTGCTCGTTCTTAATTGATCTTTAATAAAGGCATTCAAAGGCGAAACAAAAATAACAACTGGACGAAATGACAAGGAAGGTACAGGTCGCTGACTGTTTAACTTCTCGAAGAAGAGTGAAGAAAGAAGATGAAAAATCAAAGATTTACCCTCAGTCCCGTCGGTAAAACGGCCACGACATCTCTGCCCGAATGTATCGCTTCTAAACACTGGACTTGTTTGGGTTTTAAATTAAGATTACAATACCAACTCCGAGATATAGCGACTTGAAGGCTACTATAAAACATGGCGACATGAACAACGATAGCGTCGATTTGAAGATCACAAAGGAAATGAGGCAAAAATCGAGCAAAAAAACGACTCGTCCCAAAGGAATTTTTTGCTCTATAAACACGTGACCAGCCTAAACCAGGGTCTCTCCTCGCTCGCTCTAGGGGTCGGGAAGATGAGAAAGCCTGGAAACGAGGTTGGGTACAACATCACAGTGAAGTTGTTGACAGAGGGTCTCAATGGGAGGGGGGGTTCACGTACACGGCTGACGGTTAAAAATAGGCCTTTTTGACGGTTGACGGTTAAATTTTAGGTCATTTGACGGTTGACAGTTAATTTTTTTGGAATGTCGTTTATAAAACGAACTAAACGTGCGAATTTGACCGTAATTTTTCATAATGACGCGTTTGTAAAGAACCATTAATTTATAACACCTTTTATTGCTAACTGACTAACGTTTTACGACACCGGAAGTGTTTCCATACCGGAAGTAAGTTATGTTGCCACCAAATTTTACTCGCGACTAGAAATTTAAGGACTTAAATAAATGTATTTTGTGATATATCAAAACTTTCATTTATAAACAGAACTTGACCCCTCTTAAAGCAATCGTCTAGTTCTTAATTACGGATATCTGAGGGTAATGGATCTATTACCAATCTGAGACATTTCACGGCTTACATCATCCTCGGATACCCAGGGGTTATGAGTCGATTAACTTGAAATCGACTCACAGCTGCTGGGTCTCCGAAGATGGGCTTACGTTGGCTTGCTTATTTGACGGTTGACAATAAAAATGTTGCGTTTTTGATGGTTGACGGTTAATAATTTGGCCATTTGACTGTTGACGGTTAACCCCATTGAAACCCTCCTAACATACCAAATACGAACAAAATATATCCGTAGTGAAGAAAATATAACGAATCCGCACAAACTTGCAGAGTCGATGTAGGGTTTGTGATGAACAACACATAGTCATTGCTTTCAGTCTCAATGCTTTTTAGGAAGCTAAATTACAATTAAGAACAGATTTGATGTTTACCTTTACGTCTCCGTTATTAGGAACAATTTCTTTGATTTCAAGTGGAGGTTCTGTTGAAAATGAAAACAAAATTAACTTTTATGTGCCTCGAATTAGTCAAAGACCTATTAGTGGTAGTAGTGGTTATGATGATAAAGGAACTGTTTTCCTTTGTTCAGCATCGAAAGATTGCGATCAGCCAAGACGATGTCTGTGTGTATGTAAACCTCTATTTAAACACGGGAATTCATCAGTTAAGCTTAAGTTAAAAACTAAGACTAATTACAACTGCATTACATGATTGCCGTGTAGGAATCCGATATATCAGCTACGTTTTTTATATTTTTCTAAAAATGCACAACGGATGAAGCATTTTTTAAGCTTTTGGGCAAGTTATTACATAACAGGGCCCCGCTGTAAGAGAAGCTTCGTTACAAATAATTGGTCCTAATTCGGTCAGCCTTCCCTCAGAGTTTCTTAAGTTGAAAGCAGAGTAACGCTGAGAGAAAAGACTTTGTAGATATTTGTGAGCAAGGTCATTAATGGTTTTATACGTCATTAGGGCTTTTTGTTTCTTTCGTCGAAGAGAAAGCCTCTCCCAGTCGAGGGTGGAGAGAAGGTGGTTTGAGCTCGTATCAAAGGGTAATTTAGTAACTCTGGCTGCACGATTCTGTAATTGTTGGAGCTTACCACTCAAGTAACCCCTCAAAAAGTCCCAGACGGCGCTGCAGTAATCAAAATGAGGCATAGTTAAAGCGTTATAAATTAATTTGAATTGCAGTTTCTTTGGATATAAAGGGCCGCGCACGTTTTAGGGCATCTATAGCTGAGGAGACTTTCTTGGAAATCTCTTCAATGTGTTTACCCCAAGAGAGTTGAGAATCTATGGTAAGACCCAAGGATTTGGTATTGTCGACTCTCTTGATAATTGATAGAGAACGGAACCCTGATTGGTAACCTAGCAGCAATTTATTATCATCTAGATAATGGAAAAGTTGATTGTAAATAATTCTTTCAAACCCTTTCGAAATTATAGGGATAACAGATATTGGCCTATAGTTGTTAGGATCCGATTGAATGCCCTTTTTTAAAAAGTGGAGTCCCTTTGGCCGTTTTCCAATCGTTTGGATATATCCCCGTGAGAAAATACTTTGAGAATGTTGAAATAAGAGAGGGTACGACGACACAAGCAGCCACTTTCAACAAGTTACTCGGAATCATGTCAGGACCGGTGGCTTTCTTTTCGTCAATTTTCGACAAAATGTTAGAAATAATATCAACACTCGGAATTTGCAGATAAAACGAATGATGAGTGGGCTCTAAATGAGACTCGGGATTAAGATCAACAAGACGAATATCTTCTGCTAATACTTGCGCAACGTTTGTAAAGTGATCGTTAATAGTTCCCGCAATGTCCATAGGGTAACTTACTACTTTATTATCTAACTTGATCTCCAAAATATTCGTCGACTTATCACTGTTACGTGAAGTTAGCTCGTTGAGAACATCCCATGATTTGCGCAAATTACCTTTGTTGGCTTCAAAGTTCTCAGAAACGTAGAGTTTCTTTGCGAGTTTAATTGCGTTGTTTGCCTGGTTTCTTGCACGCCTAAACACAAGCAGCCCAATATAAAACTTTGCGCAACACGGTAAGAGTCACGTCCGCTTTTCTAGTAGTGAGCTTGGGCTGCGTGTGGCCTAAATTGATCCCATACAGCATGGTTATTGGAGGAGATTACCTTCTTTTTAAGGAAATCTCGTTTTAGAATTTTACCCAGCAACTCTCTAGTAATCCCAGGAGATGGTTTTTTTCGAATTCTTTTCGATTTGAGCGGTGCGTGTTTATCGACGCAGCCAAGAAACATTTTTTTTCTGTACACGCCACATTTCATTTGGATCAGAATACAAATCAACATTAGCCCAAGGCAGTTGATTGGGTTCACTTAAGAATTTTCCTTTGTTAAAGTGTTTAAATTGTCGTGTTTCAATCACGCGAGGGCCAATACGACAGTATTGAGTCTTACGTTACAAAAAAGCAAGAGAATGTTCACTTATGCCAAACACACGAATTTGTAACCTTCTCTGGGGAGTTTGTTATACATAGACTAATTAATGTTTTTAAGGCCGGGGTGACACGTGTTGGTTCTGTGATTAACTGACTAAGACCATAAATATCGAAAACGTTTGTCAGATAGGAAGAATTAACTGTAATTGCTTCAGGCAACAAATTGCAGTTGATATTACAGAGTAAATATAACTCCTCAGTTTCTCGCGCCAATTTGAATATTCTCAAATTCGCTTAATAGATTAGGTGGAAAACTTGGGGGTCGATACCAAGTGCCGACCAGAACTGGTGTTCTTCGTGGCTTACTGATTTCAACAAATGGACATTCTAAATGATCATTATTTAAATCATTACGTATTCGATAGTTAAGATTAGTGCGTATGTATGTACATACTCCACCTCCATTCCTTCCGTTAATTTCACGATCTTTTCTGACTATTTCAAAGCCAGGTATGTAACGTTCGTCATCAGGTACTGTCGAGTCTAATTTTGACTCGTTAAAGAGTAAAACATCAACTTTTGAAGAGGGCATAAAAACTCTAAGTTCATCAATACGAGACAACAGACTATTTGGCCCCTTCGCTCCGACGAAGGGCTAACGCTCGAAACGTCAGCTTTTGTAATCGTTACAGTGGCCAATTTACCATTTCAACTTTGTTGATATATCCAAATTATTTCGTTACTCTCACCGACGCAGCCCCAAACAGTTTCTTTCGAAACTATCAGCTCCCGTCCACACTAATCCGTTTTCAAACGAAAACGGAGCTGTTTTGCTCCGGATACGGCTATCGTCCAAACTACAACGCCGAAAACGATCACCGAAAACGGAGCCATTCGAAAACGCTCTCCAGAGTGGAGCGATTTGAAAACGATACTTTTTGAAAACGCTGTTTTCTAGTGTGGAAGGAGAAAACGATGCTATCTGAAAACGGTGACGTCATCAAAGTAGAGACCACCGGGCGCCAGACCACTCGACCATGAGTATCCAAAATGGCCGACAGACGCTCAGGCCATGTGGCTTCTCTCTTGATCGGAATGATTTACAGTCTTTTGAGTGCTCTTGCAAGCACATTTAACTCTGCTGAGGCGCCACTTAGATTTCACAAGAAGGGAGCAAGATAATTCAAGGCTTCTGACCTTGCCAGCTTAGGGAAAAACGAAGATAAAACGACTCTCTCGAAGTCCACCGAGACCTCGAAGGCTTTGGAAAAGACCTTGACGAACTTCAGTTTGGTGGGACAACGTTGTCGCTAGAAAAGTAGTGGAGGAAGAGTAGAATTTCGCATGAATTTCGGCATGAGTAGGACCTCTAATCCACAACAAAACTCAACAACAAAGAATCCAGAATTTCGCGCGCCGATATATTGAAATGCGCATGCGTCGAGTTCATATGAGCATGCGCACTGAGGGTATAAAAGCGTTTTCAGAACGGATACGGTGTTGTAGTATGGACTGGCGAAAACGATACGAAAATGATAAGTGTAGACACACATCTTTTTGAAAATGGAGCAAAACAGCACCGTTTTCGTTTGAAAACGGATTAGTGTGGACAGAGCCTTAATGTTAAGGGAAGCAATGACTAAACCTCGACCGCGATGAGCAAACCACGTCGTTGTGGGAACCTTTTCCTTGCTTAGTTATGAGGTGTTTATCACGGTCACGTCGTATAGTATATATTAAGTAACACCAACCTTTGCTCTCCACATATTCCAGCAATAAGTCGAAATCGGAGGTAGACTGCAGAGGAAGGATAGAGATTTTGAGTTGTTAAAAGATACTGGTTACTTCCGGAAAATTCCTCCTTTTAGCCCCATGCTAAGTGATATTTATGAGATCATTGATTGCCAGATTCTCAACACCCTTTGTGCGATGTGAACCTCGGTGATGGTTGCATAAAAAAAATTTGTAAGAAAGGAGGAAACTCAAATGTCATCCAACAGTAACGGTAAGACATATATGAACGCTCGCACCTTCTTTCCTTGTTTTCGGTACATCATCAAGATCATTTTAAGCAATCAAATTAAATAAACATATTCACGTTTAGAGTACCTCGTCTTGCACATTGGCCGATGGCCTGTGACTGCTCTCTAGGAGAAAAATCATTTGAGCAGTTATGTATAGACAAAATTTCACTTATCACCCGTGGGAGCTTCTGCTTTAAAGTAACATAAAGCATGACGTCCCATAGGAAAATAATAGGGTAAAGACTAACACGAGATCTAAATATAAGGATAAAAAATGAATAAATCTGGGTGGATACCTCCTGAGATTGACTCAAAACCACTTGAAGACGCATTTAATGACTTGGGCACCCCCTAGAACAGAATTCAATCCCAGGTTAATTAAGCAGTAACGCTAATTTGGGTGGGATAGATAAGTTTTACCACTCTCCGTCAGTATTGGGGCCTTCTTTATGCAACTGAGGTAAGAACAATACTTGGAGCCAATCGCACCTTTTTGCTACTCTTCGGTGGCATATGAAACGAATTTGATCGAGCCATGTACGTACTCCTAAATGGTGAGACGCAGTCGAACCAAGATATCCATAATGAGACCAACCCAGCCTGATATGCCGCGAGAGTGTACAAAAACGGTAAGAGTCAGGCTTCCTTTTGATTTACCAGGAGAAGATTAGAACGAATCACCTTTCGGCACAAATCATCTCGAGGGTAAGAACACCTATGAATGGTGTAAATGGTTTAAATACTCGCTTAAGTAATGCAGGTTCTCTGGGGTATGAAGTTTGGTTAAAGGCGATAAACTGACACTATTAGCTGGATTTTCTAAGTTTGCAATATGCGAGTCTATTAATATTCCACAAGTTTGGCGAACTGGTAGGATTTGAGACAACCGTTGGGGCTCCTACTCTTTCTGGGATCTACTGGTAACAAAAATAGTTTGACTTAACCTCCGTGTGGACTGGGTAATTGAAAGGTGAAAGCAGGCAACGAAAAGTATGACAAATCTTCCTTCACTATGTTTCGTGTTAGAATACGGGTAGATATCATTGAAAAAGATTCATACCTCTTGGCATTGTTCTCCAAAGCTATCAGTTGTTTCCCCATGAGGAACCCGTTGCAAGTGGGTTATTTGTATCTGTTCTGGTTGAGCAATTTTATCTAAATTTTCAAGTGATTTAAACTTCCTGTTCTCCTGCCCTGCAAAAACAATTATAATATTGGTTTGGGCAAGGAAAGCAAGTAAGAGAAATGAGCTAGGAGGATGCAGATACAGAAAACGAACGCTTATGTGGGGCTTCATAGATCTTTGAAATGTAATGTTTATGGTCTAACATAGAATTGATGGTCAATTTGAGCACCTGACAAAAAGGTACTAGCAAAGAGCGTTTTATTTGAAGAAGACAATGGTTCAAAAACTTTACTTGAAAGAGGAATAATTTGAAAAGATTTGTTTTGTATTTGTATCGGTGTGTAGTATTATAACGCATCATATCATACTTGGTAAGGTTGTTTCCCAACCTCTTGAAGATGCAGATGATGATTCTTGGACACCCTTGAAAAGAAAAGAATTCAATTCAAGGTTGAGTCGTGATATGATTGATTTTCAAAACCTGGGTAATAGAGATGGTTATCGTTAACAAGACCGGAAACCAGTCCATCTTATCGCCTGATGAAGATTACTAGTATGCAGTCGGAACTTCGCGATTCACATCATAAGTGACTGCATCGTCAAACCAACGATAATACATGTGTTTTATCATTATGGTTATTATTGTATCCAATTCTCATGACACTTATAAAACATTCCTATAAGCAAATCTTAAGTGAAAAAATAGTAAGCAAAATTAGATACGAACCGCGTTGCCTCGGTTCCGGTCCCCAGGTCTGTCACTTTCAACCGGACATGCTTGTGGGAATTGGGTTAATTCTAATTGCTGCCGTCGAAGATCAGAGTTATTTTGACCCACAAATCGTGTCATTGTCCTGTCCTCTAGCCCAGTGGAACCGGCTGATGGCAGGTTTGGACAGCTCGCCTAGTAGTCGAGAAACTGTAGTAAATGCTCAGTATGAATTGATCATAAGCAGGGTATCTTCCAAAATCGAGGCATGTAGGTCTGGTGATTTTCTCTGAACTTAACGTCAACATCAAGTAAGTCTAAAATATGTGGATAGTTTTTATTCCGCAATCTCTGAAACAGTAAACAAGGTTAATATAAATTATAACAACATCTTACACTCTGATGCAAGTAGGAGGCAGAATCCCTCTCTTGCTCATTCAAGTGACTATCTGCGGTTTAATTACAATTCAAAGGCATAAATAGTTAGCAATCAAATGAAAAAAGGTACGTTTATTCTACCAATGACTTAGACAAACGTTTTGAGGCTAAATAACGCGGAAGTTCATGCTATCTCAGAGGAGTGGCTGACCGAATTGAATAGTGGGCAGCAAGCTCTATAAAGTTATTGAGAATATTTACTACCACATATTAAAAAAAAGAATATGTTGCTTAAATCCCTGGAACAGTCATGGAACAGACATTATAAAATAAAAGATTAGTCCAATCATCTTGCAATACTTTATTCAATGTTCTCTTTTAAAACGGCATAATTATCCAAAATAAGCATACTTATTGGGTCTCCAATACAACCACTTGTGGAAGGCGCCATGTTGTCAATCTGAAACAAATATGTAAAATGAAATTGGTCGAAATAAATTTAANATTTAAACACGGGAATTCATCTGTTAAGCTTAAGTTAAAAACTAAGACTAATTACAACTGCATTACACGATTTCCGTGTAGGAATCCGATATATCAGCTACCTTTTTTATATTTTTCTAAAATGCACAACGGATGAAGCATTTTTTATGCTTTTGGGCAAGTTGTTACATAACAGGGCAATAGTTAGCAATCAAATGAGAAAAAGGTACGTTTATTGTACCAATGACTTAGACGAACGTTTTGAGGCTAAATAACGCGGAAGTTCATGCTATCTCAGAGGAGTGGCTGACCGAATTGAATAGTGGGCAGCAAGCTCTATAAAGTTATTGAGAATATTTACTACCACATATTAAAAAAAGAATATGTTGCTTAAATCCCTGGAACAGTCATGGAACAGACATTATAAAATCAAAGATTGGTCCAATCATCTTGCAACACTTTATTCAATGTTCTCTTTTAAAACGGCATAATTATCCAAAATAAGCATACTTATTGGGTCTCCATTACAACCACTTGTGGAAGGCGCCTTGTTGTCAATCTGAAACAAATATGTAAAATGAAATTGGTCGAAATAAATTTAAAAGCTGTTTACATAATTTCTAAAAACACAAGCTATTTGATGGATCGATGTCGGCGCAAGTTTTCGTGTGCCCACTAAGTTCCCATTATTCTGAGACCACGTTACTGATCTTTATGGTTTTCATTGCAAGTTAACAGCCTTTTAGAAACGCCCTTAATTTCCGGATCAACTTCTGTAACTCACAAATAAGTTAGCACACGCGGCCTGAGCGTACCGTGTGTGATTTTGGGGTGTAAGTGTCATCTACGGGAATACCTAATAAATTATACAGAGATTGAATTTTAAGCGAAAGCGTGTGCAATAAAAAAAGGGAAAAAAATAAAAAACAAAGATAATGATGAAATCGAAGAATATAACGTGTTTAGTGTCCCTGCCTGAGAAAGTTTTCCACGGGCTAAAGTGGTGCTTAACCGATTCAGCTGAAACTTGGCACAAAAGCTGGGTTTGATAAGATATTTCAAAACCCGCTTTGGCTCACTTCTCTGACTGTTTGTTCTGGAGTTTCAGGGGGATCCCATTTGTGAACTGAATGAAGATGAATTGAAGATGAAGCAAAATGAAGTGAGCTTAAAGAAAACGACCGTTAACAGAAGATCTATGGCCTAACAAACATAGATGAGAGAGAACTCAAGAATATTTTAAAAAGATTGTCATATCTGATTTCGCTTTAATGTTTCCTTTTCGCTCACTAAATACAAAATAAAGGCTTTATGTCAAGAATTTGGTCTGTTTACAACA